ATATACCACAGTTAATGACTAGACAAGGAAAACAGCCGTCAGTGCACACATATGCAAAAATAGTACACAATACAATCTTGGGATGTAAAGAAAAACTGTTAAAAACAGAAAAACCCCGGGGAGCAGTTCACCACAACCATCTGTGTGTCAAACACAACAAACATGTACAAACAGGCAGCAAGTGGGTTAGGTTCATTCTTTTGTGAAAAGAACTATTTAAATGATGCACAACAATATTCATTCACACACAGCCTCACCTACTGTGATGTTGATGGAGTTACTGGGCGGGGAGCGCTGCAGTGGGAAGTTGAATATGATACTATAGCGACAGCTGTAGCTACCCTGCTGAAACGTCTCCACATCCAAAAGGGTCAGCTCCACCCGGGACTGGCCCTGATCCACTCTCTGAGTCACCAGTGGGGTCTGCACCCCTTCTTTATAAAGGTAGAAATCACTGACTTGGGACTGTCCCACCAAAACATGGCAGCTGAAGCGCACAGACTCTCCAGAGGAGAACACGGTGTGGGGCGAAAGCAGCGTGAGAGTGGGCATATAAAGAGATCCTGAGGAAAAATACATTATTATACAATATATTCAACTCCAAACAGTTGCTCAAGTGCAAGGCAGAAAATTATTAATATCCATTATCTACTATCTATTTTTAAAACAAATATAGTCCACAATACATGAGAGTCATGAAGTCACAAGAATAATATGAATAATATTTATCCTCTTTGAACAAGAAAAGGTTTTATAGTTGCACCTGAGCATTTGACCCCTGCGTCGTTCTGGTGGGTGCATGGGAAGCTACTGCTGAGGACAACAGAGCAGTGATCCAGACTTGATTCATGTCCTGTACACTGGACATGCCTGAGCCAGATCTCCCCAGAGCCAGGCCCATAGGTTGGTCCCTGAGCGGGGTACTCTGCAAACCCACAGCCTAGCTGCAGGCACACCACATGGGCGTCTCTGAAGTCCCAGCCATGGTCACAAACTGTCCCCCATTGGTTATTACGCAGCACCTCCACACGACCAGAGCATTTATCACCATTAACTAGCCGCACCTCTGTAAACATAGGACACAAAGACATTACATGCGAAATATACGCGTAATATTAACAAAAAAATATATATTTTTTCAGCATTCTAATAACTTTTACATAAGTAACAGAGAAATGTAAAAGGACTACGAAAGTGCAGAAATATCGATCTATACCCTAAATTGGAAGACCACAACATGAGTTTATCACTTCTTTTTTTGTAGCATTTTGAGGTAGATTTTAAGTATTCAATATTATTTAAATAAAGGTATACAATATTTTGTTTTTTGCATATCTTCAAAATATCATTCACAGTCACAATAATATTGATGATTCAATATGGTCTACCTCTAGTCCCCGTGCTTACCAAAACCCATAACTCCATCACGCAGGGCACACGACAGACCTGAAATAAAGGAGAACATATTTGTTTAGGAGTGTACACAAACTATTATAGACGTATAGTTATATCAACTTAATGTTTAACAATTATAGTAGACAGTATCCAAAAGAATGAAATGCAGAAGAAATGTGAGTGTACGTAATTGCTCAGTCGGAGTGACCATATTGGTTCCTAGCTTCCTACAGCTTAGTCTTGATCATTTCTTTGTTTAGTGATAATTTTGTTTTATACTTGAAAATATGTACAAATATGACATTAAACAATTAAATGTGTTATAAGCTCATGGCATAGTGTATGCTCAACTGCTAAAAGGATTACTAGCTGCTAAATGTTTGTAGCCATCACAAAGAGCTTACCTGTCAGGAGGATACAGACAAAAGTAAGCATCTTCTCCCTTCCATCAGACAGCAGGCTGGTGAAAGACCTCCTTTTTGTAGATGGGGCTGTGATGAACTCGTACTAAAAACATCAGATTCATCAGAAAGCTATCCGCTAAAGCTAGCGCCCAAATAGTTTAATAAAGCTATTTGGCAATTACGTTTAAAACATATACTCAAGATATGGATGCAAAATATTAAAGTGCATATTGCATAATAAAACGCAGCCTAATTATATATAGGAAAACGATTTATATCCTCATCGTTGATGCAAAGTACGCTGTCTGAACCAACGTTAAGCGAAAACGTGAGGTTAGCAACAGTGGCGAACTCTGGGTTGCCAGATAACAGCGGCAGTTTCCAGTTTAAATGGGAAGATAACTCAATGTGATGTCAAAGTATTCCAGCACATCGTTAGATATACTATTATGACAATGTCATTACATTTCATTTGTTAAAAAAAAGTCAGACGTAAATTTACTTTTAAACGGTTTTATTGTTTGCTGCTATTTAAGCGGAAAACTGTTCATCTTGGCTCCACGTCACTGAACCAGAGCCACAGTCTGCCACACGGGGTCAGCATTAACCCATTAACCCGCAAGTAAAACCAGTGGTAAAGCCATTACAGAGTACAAAGTAGGATTATTAGGCACTACATAGACTCGTCATCCAGTCGAAACTGTGAAATCTTATAGACCTATATTTTCCTGCATTCTCTTTGAAAACACTGCCCTGTTTAAAAACATATACCCCTCAAATCATATTTATGGAGGTCTAAAATTGTAAATAACTCAACACATTTAGAAGCCAGTTGTGTGTCCCTCACAAGAAGATTAGTGTATAAAAGAACTGACAAGATGTTGAGCTTTGTTGCCATCAGAGGTTACTGTAATCTGGTATTAATAGAGAAGAGGCTTACATACATTTACAGTTTGTCTATTGTTATACAGTCATTCTCATGCCTTCTATGCCTATAGCACATGCAGACCATTTCACCACTCCATTCATGTGACTGCGAGGTTAAGTCAGAGCAGATTTCTCTTAGTCTCACAACAAATGCAGAGTATTTCCCAGAAAATGTAATGAGGCATTTCCATTTCCTTTTAGTCATATTATAAGTTACTATTTTGCTGACCACACCAAGACAAACATGGTAGAGTATAATGTATGAAACATTTGTCATTGTGGTAATTTCCTGTCGAACAATAGAATTATTGGAATAATTAAAAATTTCAACAACAAAAAAAAGTTCAGTGTAATAATACTGATATAGTTGGTAGCTGATATAGTTGTGGCCACTTCATGTGAAACAGGGATTACTGGCTACTTGAGTACTTTTAACACAATATAAAGAAGTAAATACTGCCATTGCGGGGACTACATCTTTTTCTTCACTTTTTTCATATTTAGTGTGGAGACAAATGCAGTCCGCTGCCCCACCAGAATTAATTAATTTAAACATATTAAATCCTCATCATAAACACTGCCTGTTTGATCTGTTCATAAATAAATAAATTGATATCTATATCTATCTATATAGATAGATATATAGATTTTTTTTATTACATACAGTATAAATAAATATTAAATGTAAATACAAATTTGTCACAAAAACATAAATACAAACACAGTGACATCTACAGCTCATTTTATAGATGCATTTTATTGATCCACTGGTCAAATAAGCATCCACAATATTATCTTGTAAAACATGAGCATCTTTTTCCATAAAGAAAACATACAGAAATGTCTGTATCCTGAATATATTAAAGAAAAATAAGATTAATCTCTCTGTAATTTTAACTTCATAACAGCACTTTGCATTTAACAGGAGAAATCTTGGTTGTGTGGTCTTTACAATGAACAGTTACTCATAGCACTAACTTAGTTTGTCGCTTCATTATTAAATATCATCCTGCTTAGTTTCATTGGTGAATTAACATAAAGTATACAACAAAAGAAAGAAAATATACACAACCATAAAATAACAAAATAATTTATAACTTAACACCAAGCCTCTGAGAAGATGACCTTTTTCACAAGTTTGACTTGACAAGAACTGTACCATGACTTCTTCAGTTACACTGAAAATCTCCTAATTACAAGCTTGCAGTTAAATAAAACACATTAAACTCTTTGGATAACAGTACAGACTGCTTCAGTTTCACCAGAGAAGTCTCTATAGCAGCGCCGTTCAAATTTCAGTGTGCTACATATTAAGTCCATTGGCCAGCCCTCGCCGGTTTTGTGCACTCACAAGTGGAGCAAAAATGTCCTCACTTGGCATCTCCGAGCAGGTACACAATAAGTTCATATGTAGAGAGGACAATGGCTGTGTTGGGGATCTGCCTGATTAACTGTGGAATGAGTCCTCTATAAAAAGCTGCATAGCCCTCTTCCACGGCTATTAACCGCCCCGTCTGGAAGAAATACTTGTACTTGCTGCCCTCCTCTCGCAGCCTCGTCCGAATGACCTCTGCGTGGAGACAAAGAAGGAAAATTAGCACCAAATGACTGTCGAGCTCTTGTACAGACAGAAGAGACTAGTGCTTACCGTGAGGGTAGGCAATGCAGGACGCACAGCCTTTTGAAAATGCAGCAGCCATCATGAGACTGAGGAAGTCCGATGCCCCCCTCTCAGTTTCTCCGCTGGGTGAGACAAATTGGCTCTTGGCAAGGTGCTTTTTCAGTGTTTCATAGATCAAGAAACATATCATAGTTTCCGAAATCCCGGCGTAGGACGCAGTCAGGCCTCGGTAAAACCCCCGAACACCTTCTGTTTTGTAAACATAACGGGCACACTGCAGTGCGTTCATCTTCTTCTCTCCTCGGGCTCTGAACAGACAAAATTGAGATGAACACTGTAGTTCAATAGAAGCAATTAGTAAACCAATCTGGCCCAAATCTCAGAAATCAAGAAAGAAAAGGGAAGCCAACTAATTGTTCCAGTGAGTTAAAAATAATAATTTTCATTAAGTTAATTGTTAATAACCACATTGAACAAATGCTCAGTTGTTGATGACAACTGTAAGCATGCTCGTCAGTTCTCCCACTTAATATTTAAACCCGCAACAATAACACAGAGGATTTTCACCTAGAAACATAAACATGGTTGCGTAAAAGTGTACCGTATTATCGTCACTGTACCATGAGGGCATTTTGCTGTGGGACAGGTGCACTAGATTAAATTGGCAGACATGCCCCTGCCACCTCACATGATACTACTGCCCTGTACTCAGTAAGGCAAATATAGACTCTTCCTCTGCACACAGGACACTGCGTCAACGCTCTGTGTATTTATGGAGCAGGTCACACGCTCCGGCTCAACGCTGCAGAGACCAAGGACAGTGCTTAGGCTATGGAGGTTTAGGCCCGAGGTGCACATACACGGGGAGGAAGCATGGGGGCAGTAACACAGCACGTCCACATGCTTCAGTTTACAGACATTTTACTTTATATAACAGTCCCTTTAAAATGGGACACTGGCTGTTTCTTATGTTTTCACTTAAGGCGACTTGTTTATTGCTTATATTTCTTCAATAGCCAGAAGACACACAATTACCCAAACTAATTTTGACTACATTACTGAATAGATAATACTGATTTATACAAAGGGGAGAGAGCCACAAAGTAATGACATTGTGGTATATGGAAAGAAACAGAAATAAATGGTGTACACACTTTTTCTCAAGCTGCATCCTGGTCTTGACCATCCAGATCGGGTTCATCAGAGAATTCGTCACAAACGCTAAAGACACCACAACATTACAAAAAATGTCAGTTTAAAATCTTCAGCCAGTGTGATTATTTTTATAATTACAGTTATAATCACAATATTTTTTTACTGTATTGTGTGGCCTTTACATTTTGCATGTATTTTTTGACATGATCTGATCTTGATATTGAACAAATACAGAGACCCATGTGTAAAAATAAATATTTAAAATAATTGAAAATCAAAAACATTAGGGTGAAGGGGGATTTATATGAACAACCTCATTTATATTTTGATGATTACTGCTGTTGTGCTTACCTGCAGCGCCCGCAGACGACATGTGCACCAGTCCACTGTTGGGGACAAAAAGCCCATTGAACAGCTCTTTTGACTTTGAGTAAGCAGCAAAGTAGATGGCTCTGAAAGACAAAAGCCAGTCCGTTAGTTTATATAACTTTTATTAAACTAAAGTTAGAGATTAATCAATATAGTTTTTTTCATAGCTGATGCCTAAGATTTAGAATTCAGAACAACTCATAAGAACTGCCAGAACTGCTGGGCTGATAGTTATGGCCAAATTAGATAATTTTCCCCAAAATATGTAATTTAAATTCACTACAAAGCCACCCACAGGTTTACAGGTTTACTTCTGACGTGCAAAGCAGGGTATTGTGCAATTATAGTTAAATATCTATACAAATGTAACTGAAGGCAGTTTACAATTTCAGTAAAAAATTATACGATAAAAAAGGAAAATGTACAAAGCTTCACCGTTTAAAAGTCGTGCAGTCTCTGCTACAACTTCAATTTAAATCACTTAAACCCGTAATCATTCAGGCTGTGCAAAAATATTGAGATTTTGTTTTCTGGCCATATTACCCAGCCCAAAGGAGCCAGCCCTAAGGTGTCTCTCCTGATGGCAGCGGTGAAGCCATAATCCAAGTTGGCCACTAGAGCAACACAGCAGTCAAAAGAGCATCCTGAGCTACTGATTAACCGCCATGACGCTGGATGTAACTTGAGTGTAAACAGTCTCAAAGTCTCACTGCAATTAAAGCAGAATTGTAACACAGCTCAGGGGATACTGTAATGGACTCAAGACATCTTATCAATCAGGAAGTACAAGGTTTTATTGAGGCTAAAAATAGACCAAAGGTGAAAGCAGTCATAATTTAGAGGTAACAAGGATTTCATTGATTTTACAATATTAATTATTCATTTTGTGCAATTTTAAGTTTTAAGGCAAACAGAGTAATCAATTCAAGCTTAAATATTGTTACATAGTGTTCAGACCTTACTTTTCATAAATGTAACGAATACATTTAATTGCCACATTGAGACTAGACATTTATACCTTAAATTTAAATGCATTATCAACTTAAGAGCATTTTACCTCTCTCGCAATAGCAAAACTAAATAAACACTGAAACTGTGGATTTACAAATTAAGCCAAAGTTCACTGTAGTTATATTTCCTCAAACAAATGTTAAAGTTTAAACTTAAAGTGACGCACAGTGGCCTAACTGTACATGCTGTAAGAGAGCAAAGATCTCTCGGATGATTCTCACCTATAAAAAGATCAACTCGCCATTAAACAAGTATATTAAACATTAGGTTTATATCGTGAATGTTAATTTATATAGCCTACAAAATGTTATTAGAAAATTAGAAGTCTAAATAAAAGGGCAGTGAAATTATTTAACCTGATTGCTAAGCTTAGTAGTGTAATATGAATCCAGTGCCCAGGCCAGATGACCAACAGGCATTTAAAATTCAAGAGGCAGCGGCTACACTGACCAATGCTGTGCGAGTCTTGAATAACGCAGGCTGCAACCTAATCCTTGCTATTTGAAAGCATAATTCGGTTTTTCACTTATAATCAGTAAGATGGACATTTAGATAACCAATGGAAAAAATGTATCTGTGGTTCTACACACAATTACAGCGTAGTCAATACATGAATAATCTTTATTTTTTAAAAACATTACAGCCAATTGTTAGTTCAGGGCCTTATTTAAAATATATTCTTCCTGTGTTTTAAATGGCTTTCACATGATCTGACTGCTGTTGCCACGACAGCCTCTTCCTGTTTACAGAGCTACTGAAGTCCTCAGCTATCGTCATGCAAAGTAAGAGCCTCTCCTTTCCTCTGCTTTGCGTGTGGTTAGAGTCTGAGATGATATGAACATCATAACAACCAATTCCACTGGGAAATTACCCCCGTTTCATTTCTCATAGTACACTTCATGATTAAGCATTTAGGTCCATTGTAATACCATGGAATCTAATTTATATCATAGCTATGAATTAATGATGTTTAAGTCATTATTTAAGTAAAATAACAAATTTAGTAAATAACACTTGGTTTACATTAACTGCTGGACGGGTTGGGGGCGTACGTTGCTCAGGTTAGTTGCAAATTGCCTGTTATACCAATTTTAAGATAAAGATCAAGACTATTCAAGACTATTCAGAAGTCCAACTTTCCCCAATATATGAATATTCATTCAGAGTTGATAACTCCTGATTATCTAGTGATGAAACTAGTTATAACCCTAAATTATAATGTAAATATTTACCTTGAGGGAGCTACACCAACAAGATTTGGTCCCAGGCCTCTGAACAGTGATCGTGGTCCCTCTTTTTCAAGGATGGACCTGAAATACACAAAACAAAAATCAATTAAGACATTTATATGTTAAACATTTGTCCTCTGCTTGTCCTGTATGGCTGCTGGGGACTAAGGTCAAACTGGATCCAACCTGATTGAGGCCACCAGTCGTTTCCTGCATTAGAGTGGCATGTAATGAGCCCAACAGGTGTTAAATATGAATAGATGTGGTTCACACAATGGTGGACAATCTCTCTCTTCATAAACAAAACAATGTAGGAAATAATACACAAGAAATAATTACAATTTGGAAATGCATGGCCCATTCTTGGCAAAGAAATGGTGAAAGAGACCCCAGCATTTTTCCAACTAGAGTGTTTCAAGGTTTGCCTGGGATCCAAAACACTTCAGTACTTAAATATGCAAGTCTCCCCGTTTTCAGAAGGTCATGATTGACAAATGGATTAGACAGTCAGGGACAAGCATTGTCTGTCCATATTTGAAACTATAATAAAGGACAAAAAAATATCACAGGGAACTGAAAAACATTGCTCATACATTCTGCAGAAATCTACAAAGTACTAAACTCTGTTAATCTGAGGTGACATAAATTGACCTGAGCTCATTCATTTCACAAGTATCACTGTTTTATCAGGCTTGGCGCGCGATGGAGGGCATGGGGATTGGACAGATATCAATCTATAAAAATACAAAGAGATATCATTCTGGATTTGCCAGGCAAGTTCAAGGTTAATTGCTGCATGCGAAGATCTGAATAGTGTGTTTTACACCGGAGTAGTGACATACAGCTTTATTTGATACGACCACATACATGCACGTCTGCAGGCAGGAGTCTTCCCATTAGATCTATTTGGGGAAAAGATTTGGCAAGTAGTGAAATATAGACAGTTATGCAAGTGCTGTTCTCTTAGGAGCATTTAGCGTGACTGCATCTGTGCTTAAATCAACATTCCTCACTGGTACAGAACTCACTACTGAAGCTACATTTATAGACAATAATTCTTCACATTCTCCAGGTGTCTGCCACAGTGCTTAAAGTGGGGAGGGAGTAGGGGGTACTCTATGTATGCAATGCAAAACCCCTAATATAGTGTCTTTGCATTACATGACCGCCGGTTACCTCCTTGAACTTAGGTAACATGTATGGGGGATAAGGGGAGTAAGGAGGATACATTCTATTATGCAGTACACATAATATAGCACATCATTTATATTTTAATTGGTCACTGATAAAGCACAAACTACCTGGCTTTCAATTTAATTTTGTTTGTGTAAATGTCACATAGCTTGTTTTTCAGTTTGACTACAATAGGAACACCTTTTAACTTAAACGTCTGAACAAATTGCAGCTTAAGGTCGAGACTCCAGTTATTCTAGTTTTTAAGGGCTTTAAATGTAATACAACCCTAACTCAGACATCTAATTTTGATCAGTAGGGACTCTGCTATTCTCACGCAGCTAGACTAGTCATAAAATACATGGCCTATAGGGGCCTCAAACACAAGGGATTCTACATGACACCCAAAACAGATGTGTCCAGCAGGACACCGTGTACTAATCCACTGCACACAACTAAGAGCAAGATTAATGGCTTTTGATGCAGGGTTATGCAAGAGAAAATAACAGGTTTGAATGCACTACAGCAACAGCACCACAACTCTAATCCAAACAAACATGCAGCAGGTAAAGTTAAGTTTGGACAAACAGGCAATATCATCAAGGAAAAATTCTGCATGGGAATCTAAAATAATTACATTCTGGGCAAAATGTTGTTATATTAAATTAAACTTATGATGCCCTCTGTTCAAAATAAAAAAGAGATTTTTAGAGCCAATTAACACTTGCATACAAATCTTTACGCTTTTATTTGTACAGGGTCAGGCACAATAACAATACATTAAGCAAGAGTTATAGGAAAGACGCTGGTGCCAGGTTATAGCATCAGTACCAATTTAAACATGTACTCCCTGAGCAGGTTGATGTAAATATTAAACTTATTTGGTGATCAGTTTGTTTCATTTAAGTTCTAACAGTTTACATAGGGTCATTCAAATGCTAATCTAAAGTTAATATACATTCATACATATACATTCTATCCCCTTCCCCTTAAGTTCAAAGTCTGGACCTTATTGGCCTCTCTTTCTCTAACCTCCAACTCTCTCCTGCTGGATTGCCAAAGTGTCCATACCGTAAGACTTGTAGGAGACCGGGCGTCACAGTCCCAGGACGGATGACCCCAGTTCCAGTGCCACTGAGCTGGACCTGGTAAATGGGCCGGAGAGCAAGCCCTGATGACTGCAGCCGGGTTTTCAGCACCTCCAGAGGACACGTCACAATGGCCCCCACAGTTCCACTACACCTGGGAACACAAAACAAAGATTTACATTAGTAACTTACGTAACTGTTGAGTTCAATTACAACAACATTGACATTAACTAGTTCTGAATGACGAATGTAGTCTACTGAAGATGAAGGGAACTAATGGCTGTACATTTGGTCAGTGTCGACATATTAACACATACCTCAGCTGTGGAGCTACTAGACCGTACACATACTGGACATAAGCACCCTTAATACCACTCTCTAACCACAGTATTTCCATTGTAAAACATTAAATTTGTTATGCCAATTATTGACATCACAGACAAAATTTCTCACAGACAGCTAAAAGTTTATCAGGTCAACTTCTGCAGTGTAATTAACAAATTCCTCAATTCCCGTGTCCCAAGTAATAACCTTCAAACCCAATAAAAAACATTCTTTTCCAGATCAATCTGCTCTTAATGAACTTGTACAGTGTGTTATAACCTTATCATTTATATCCTCAGCAGGCTTAAGAGCCAGAAAAGATTAGAGTAAACTGCTGTGTCAAACGGCTGATTCAAATTCAAAATTTGTATTATATTTCAGGCTCAGAATGGTTGTACCATAAATAAATAACCCAGCTAAAGACCTGTCATCAGCTTCAAGATGTTGTAATATATTTGAGTATTGCAGATTGTTTTGTCCATAGAGCCAAAGATCATTGAGCAGGTGAACAAGGACAAGATGAGGACCTTTGAAATTATGGTGTAACTATAAATTGACTGTATGAAATGCGATATGCAACACGTTTTACAAGAGCAAATGTTGGTATCATATCCAGTGTATAAGGACAAATGTTTTTAGCAGAGCAAGTCAAATTCAAGGGTAAAAAGATTGCGTCATTTGGTTACATGCATTTCTTCAAAGTCACTTTATAAAACCAGACTAACTCGATTAATTTAATGACATTGTTTCTAAGAAATGTGAGTTTCACTGCTCAGAAAGCTACAGTGTAACGATAAGCCACAGCATTACGTAACATTGAAGGACATCACGCAGCTAAAGGCTAACAACTCCCGTGACTACGCCACGTTCAGAAACACAGATGAAGTGATCTGGCCAAAGAACTAAATACGCTATAACAACAACATCTACAACTGAAACATTCAAAAAAAAAAAAAAAAGAGTCCAGATAAATACGTTAGACAATAAGCGAAACGTATGGCAATGTCATGCTAACTACTCGAAGTCGCTAATTTTAGCCATGAAGAGATCTGCTGCTACAAGCGGATGCAATATGCTGGCTGATGAAATATATCCCACACCGGCTCATCATTGTTCCTTATAACCTAGCCATTCAATCCATAACTGGCGTCACACTAACAATAAAAACAACACAAATAGTAAATAGATCATTTCCCCAAACGCATTAAAACACTCAGATAATGTGTAACACGTTAAATGAACCCGATTGACCGATAGCACTTGAATGCTACATTTAAAATGTGCTAACATGAGGTTAGCATTCATTGTCAGTCTGTTTTCTTTTTAAAATGCTGTCGGAAAAATATATAGCATAGTATAGTTAGTGGTTACTAAAACGTACATAACCAGTTTTTATTGAACCTGAAGATATCTATGTGCCACTTACCCCCCAGCGAAGAGATGTAGCAGCGTGTCTTTTTGTGCCATTTTGGTTGCCGGGTTCTTCCTTAGCTATACACAGACATCTTACTAAAATATCTAGCGTTAATAAATATGTCGTTTAGTAAATTCCCGACGCGTCCAACTCTCAGACGCGGAGCTCGTTTACTTCAGGCTTCGGCTTCAGACTTGATTCGGTGCGGCTGTAGAGGAGCTGTCAGCGGCGGACGCAGGCGGAGGAGCAGCGGAGCCAAGAAGACCGTCCGCACTGACGTCATGTGGGGCGTACGGGGGTGTTGTCTGTGACGTAGAGACATGTGCGTGGTTTCCATGGCCACCTCCTCCTCCTTGCCTTTCCGTGGGGGGGTCTCTCAAAATAATGTTGGAGCTGGAGAAGTCTGCCCTGCTCAGAGCTCTGAAAAACAACACGAGATCACCTTGAACCCTTAAAGCTCGACTGGAATGTCACCTGACTGCACAGATAAGCTATTAACTAGTGGCATAACAATCATGACAGTATAGTGAAAAACAAAAGTGACAAACAAGCCCACGGCTACTAGATAACTTATTGCAAAAACTATAGAGGTAATTGAAATTCAAGATACACATGGATATTTCTGCTACTTCCAAAGAATAGCTTACATATAAAACCACATCAGAAGTAGAACTATCAAAAAGGCATGAATAAAGGGATTAGGCCCACATTAACCAACATTAGAAGCAGTAAATTCCATTATCCATAAATAAAGAGAGGCTATTACAAAAAATTAATTATCAATTCAATATTTTACCCTTTTCTCATAGGTCTTTAATCTTTGAATGTCATGTTTTGTTTGTTCTTTTCTCCTTAAAACAGTATTTGATATGTAAACAAATAATAGTTTTTGTCAATGAAGAAGTTACCTAATGCCTTTTTATTACCTGTGAATGGCACACCACACACATTTGAAAACATGTCTTTATCTGCCCACATGATAACAAGTGTAAAAGTGCTGAGATAAACCAGCTGAACAACACAACGCACTGCACATAACTGTACCTGGACCAAAACATTATGGTTGTTTTGCTGCTGTCCTGATGTGTAAAAATAGCCCAACCACTTATATAAAGTTAATGGAGGATTCTGTGACCCCCAGGTCTCCTACAAAGAGACAAGTATGACAGCTCTGATTGAGAAACAGCGGCCAGGGCAAAACAGACTAAAGCAAAACAGACCAGAGAAACCAGATTCACAAGTCTCTGATAACATGTATTTATTAAAGTTGGACATTTCCACTGATAAATATAAATATATCTAAATATCTAAATTTCTTAATCTTCTAAAATCTTCTAAATTATTTCTCAGCTTTTATTTACATTTGAACGAAAAGTGGCATGTCCAGAATTATTCATACCCTTCTCTAAAAGCCTTTATTGGCTATTACAGTAATCCAGTGCTTCCTATAATTGCTGACCAGTTTTTTACACGTCTCCATTGGTATTTTGGCCCATTCATCTTTAGCGGTGAGCTTCAATGCTGTCAGATGGGAGGGTCTCCTTTCCATCACCCTGATCTTTAGCTCCCTCCACAGATTCTCAATTGAATTCATGTCAGGACTCTGACTGGGCCACTGCAAACCGGTAATGTTGCTGTCTAATAACCATTTTTTCACCACTTTTGTGGTTGAAGACTTCTCCTTTTTTACACCAAATCATCAATGCATCATTGTGGCCAAACAATTCAATTTTTGTTTCATTTGACCATAAAACAAAAGTCTTCTTTGTCCAGATGAGCATTTGCAAAGGCTAAACAGGCTTTTGTGAGCCTTATCTGGAGAAGTGGCTTCCTCCTTGGTCTACGTCCATTTAACCCAGCACAGGTGTCACTTTTGGCTTCTGACCACATCTTGTGAGATTTTCCACAGTGTGGAACGTCTTGTATTTTTTAATAATTCCTTGCACTATAGCCACTGGAACTTGAAAACATTTAGATATGGCCTTATAGCCCTTTCCTGACTTGTGAGCAGCCACAAACCACAGCCGCAGATCCTCAGAGAGCTCCTTTGTCTTAGCCATGACTGTTCACAAACCAACTGCAAACACCTGCTGTTTTTCACCTGTTCAGTTGCTTAAAACAGCTCTTCCTAATGAATCAGGGTAATTAGGAAGTTTTTAGAACAGCGTGTGCTGTTTGGAATAGTATAGAACTTTAGATTTTTCCATAGACTCAGACAGCTTTCAAAGAGTATGACTAATTCTGGACATGCCACTTTTCATTCAAATGTAAATAAAAGCTGAGAAATATTTTTTTCCACAATGATGCCTCTTGTACATTATCTTATTATCTTCTGGGAGGCACCTGTATCATCAAGTAACTTTAAGTAAAAATTTGTCAGGGGTATGAATAATTTTGGGCTTGACTCAAATATATATATATATATATATATATATATATATATATATATATATATATATATATATATATATATATATATATATATATATATATTATATATATTTATTTTTTTTTTTTTTTTTCAAATCAACAAGTAAGCCTATTGACAGAAGTAGGCATTTAACTGCATTTAATGTGCAATAAGCTAATAATGTTGTCATTCTGGCATGTTATGTATTCCTATGAAGGTTTAATCAAATATCTCGATTTGACACATTTATTTTCAGGTAAAATATTAGGCTACTGAAATCTCAATTTAGGCCTGTGCCCATTATGCCTGGGCCTACCATGCATTGTGTTTCTGTGATTTTAAAGAAATGGTGACATCAAGTGTGCAAAGAAGAAAACTACACCCATTCACACACATTCATTCACCAGTGTACACAGACACTAGGGGCAAGTAACAGGCCAAGTTACAGGTAATCTGTGGAGAGGTTCGCTGACTCATAAAAAGGATCCATGTTTTTCAGTGTATATTTATACAGTAAAAAACTCTAATGTCAAATTTTAGACCATTCAAGTCAAAGCAATTACATATCTATGGCTAAAAGTATGTAAAAAAACAAAAAACAAAACACCAGATAGCTTACATATAGCACCTTTACTAAATAATATTTTGATCATACATGTATTTCAGCTTCATTCAATTACAAGAAAAAAAATCTTATAGAATGTATAATATTTTCTGCTTATTGCAGAATGATAGAAAAATCAGTGTGTAAAAGTTTTATTTCCATGTTTTAAATGGGCTCAGGTGAAAGTTCATGCAGAAAATTTGCAGTCACACATTCTCACATAAATATTAGTACATTACAGCTTTCATAATTATATTATGATTTGTCACTTTCCATTATTTATTTATTCAGTATTCAATATTTCATCAGCTAGTCAATTAAGAACACCTCCTCATTTGCAATAATGACCTGGCCAAGATGCAGCATAGCTTTTCAATCTAAAAACACACATGCACATCAAATTAAGACTAGTTTCTACCATTAAGATGACATTATTGTGTTTAAGGACAGTGTTATGTATAAAAAAATTATAATATATTGCAATATTTTGTCACCTTTCATTTTACTATTACTATTTACTATTACTATTTTATTTTCATTATTTTCAGGTCATGTATAAATAATCTGCAAGGCAAAAGAAAATGATTTGGACTCTGAACAGAACAAACATGTTTCTCTTCTGAGTCTGCAGAGAGATGATCCAATACTATGTATGGTATGGAGGTTAAACAGCTCTGAGAACTTAGTCCATGATCTCAGGTTTGTCAAATCAAGATTAAAAGGTGTACAATGTAACATTTCTGGCAAGTGTCCACTGTTTACAAGATTATTTTTCATTTGTTGAATTATAGGCAATTTTGTAGTCAAATACTAAGAGTACATGGTTTAGCTATGCCCAAGTTTTATGCCTGCCTTTCTTGTAGAGCAGATAGCGAAACATCTCCATTGAGAAGGCGGTTTCTGACATCCATCTCAAACTTGAATGTTTATTTTTTATACACTCTACATATAATGGACAAGCTTACACATGATTGATTACACACATACAGTACATACTCTCCTTGCACACGACTCAAATGGTTAAGTTGGTGAGCCATCTTGTCTCCACTTTTAGCAGCTTGTCAAAATAGTGGCTAAAGGGCAGAAAGGTCACCTCCCTCAGAGTAAGGTCATATCATCTACGCACAGTAATAAATAATGCCATACAAGAGCTAAAATTCTCATGACCTACTTGCTTAGAATAACTAGATCAGAAAATACAGTTTACAATGGAGATAGTTTCCCCATCTTAAAACTTTAGCAATCACCCAAATGCATCATGTGTGACCCTTTGGTAAAAAGGAACGTTTATGAAAGTTTAATTATTCACAATTCTATGTACTAGTCACAAAGAAATGCAAAACAAGTCAGGTTTTAATAATTTCAAATATACTTTAATAGATATTTAAAACAATTCTACAAATAAAATGAAAATTGCAAGCAAGGAAAGAAAGGTGTGGCACAGAAGTCCATTTTCAGTACAGAATCAGGACTACATTTGCACATAAAAAAAAAAAGACTAACTTTGACAGGCGTGGAATATGGCGTGTCACAATATCTTGGCAATAAGACCTTGTTTATTTTATTTGTGCACTTTTTGTGGATTGTCTTCTCAAATTTGGTGCCTTTTGACTTTCCACATTCCCCCAAGACACCACACCTTTACATACATTTGAACCAGTCCCATGTTACATACCAGAAAACACACAACATCAATGGTTGTCAGCTATAAGCCACAGAGACCCAGAACTTAGAGTTATTCACTATAGATAGCACACTATATAGTAAATGTGGTTCTGTTACATACCATTGGAGGGCATTTATTCCCTACAGCACACTCCCAGTTCTGACAGTAGCAAATCAATTACAAACTTAAGATTTAAAAGCGCTGCACAAATGCAATGAAAACACTGTATGAACCATAAACAAAATTTCTGGACAATTTATGAAGCTGAAAAAATAAAATAAAAATCAATACTGTAAACATGGAGAAAAATGTTAAAGAAAACAACTCAGGCACACACACTTCAAAGTTTTGTCATCTTAAAATATCTAAGATATCTTAATACATATTTGTTATGCGTTGTATAATCATTTGTGCATTATATATTGATTCCAGTCTGCTCCTCCACAACTGTGGAACAAATATGACAGAAGGTTCTGGGTCTCAGTGGCATACGTGTAAACTACTGTACAAATAAACATAGGAGTGATGAACGTAAGACATTGTATTGAGTGCACTGAGAGATTTCCTGCAGGTGCATGCTACAATAATCACAGTGACAGTATCCTTCGATTTGGCTGACGACGTTCCTTTCTCAAAGCTTAACAACCCCTCATCTCAATATGATGAAATCTGACCATGCTGTGCGTTTGGGAGCCTCTTCTCCTCTCAGTGTATTATCAACACTGCACTATAGATCCTATAAGAGCAGTTTAATATCATTATTTAGTCACTTAATAAAAACCACAAATCCTCTAACTACTATTGATCCTTGATTTGAAAGTGGAAAAAGGGAATGTGCTGCCACTGTGTGGTCAGATACTGGCAGTGCACCTCCATTGTCCTAAAACCACAAAGTTTAAATTTCCCCTACACAAATTTATTTTTAATACAACCCAGACACGTAATTTTAAAAAAGGCTACATTAGACATAATCACAGCAGAGGTACCGATCACATATGTCACATCAACGTGCAAACAACATGTTTCACCAAAACTCAGCTTGGTCTGTCAGGTCTGTGCATAGAGTTCAGTGATTCCTGATTTGAAGAAAGTTCGAAGACAGTTGAAGTCATAAAAACAAGTTTAAGAAATGACAGGAGCATGTGTGTCTGAATCACTCATGACTCAGAGCTGCGGGCGTGTTGTGTGGCTGGACAAGACCCCAGAGACAGGACACCAGGGGGCGCCATCATTGGTAGAGCAGGTAGTTCTTGAGAGCAGCGGGTAAGGGCAGTCTGTGGATCTCAGGCAAGCGCTCCTTTCCTAAAGCCACCCGCACCGAACGCCGGCACAGGTCCATCAGGGAGAGGGGCTCAGCTGGAAGAGAGGAGAAACAGGTCAGGAGAGGGAGCAAAACATGTCTGTACAGTTGACAGGCGTAAATAACTATTAGGTACATAATGTGAAGGACTGTTAAGGGTGGGAGATCACTTGGCAATCCATAAGAAAATGTACTAAAAGTGTCTGTAAATGTATGTAACTTTGTTTTTTTTCCAATCAGCCCTTTAACAGCCTCTATTTGTTATGCATATTTGCATACCTCAAAAACAATTAGGGAGGAGACAAGATCCTACACTTTTATGAGATCAACAATAGAAGCAGCAGAAGTATAATTGTTATTGTTGAAGTAGTTTTAAAGGTGCTTTAACACATTTCCTAAATTAGAACTAAACATGAACTAGACCAGGGCCAGAATCAGACCAACCTAAAACATCCAGATGAGGACTTAACTGGGCCCAGGGAATGCAGGACTATGGGGGTCCCATCACTCGATTTGTAAAGGAAACACATAAAAAGGTCACTGCTACAAAATACATTTAGTGATTTAGAAAGTCTGTATTTTGGGAGACCTGGTATGCAACAGGATAAGATTTAAGTAGGGCTGCGTGATATGACAAAAAAAATCCCTCATATCCAACAATCCAATGATCTTGAGTTCATACAATTTATACGATTTATCCAAAATCAGGCGGTCAAAATGACTTGTCTGAAGATAAATTTTTAAACATGTATTGCTTGTGGTTTGGAGTAGTCTGAACTCTGCTCCAAACCACATGCTTTTACCGACAGGATTGGCCGTGGACAATTCTGATCAAGAGAGACAAAAATATAATCTGCAAAACGAGTAAAACTTGATTGATTAAAATTAGGCCAATAACAAGCACAATATATCGCTACAGAGAAATACAACAATAAATTATAATATTGGAACATTATGCCACTGACAAAATTTTAATAAAGCAGGGTAATCCCAGTAATCAATTTAAAAAAGAATTAAAAAGACCTGAGCTCAAATCTTACCATATTACATGAAATGCACCACAAACCTCCCTACTATTGCAACAAAAGTGCACACACAATAAATATTGAGGCCCAAAATATATTGTTCCAGCTTTGATGAACTGAACAATAAGTCGATAGTAATTATAATGTCAGGCCTAGTTAAAATTTGATTAATAACCCGTGAGACAGATGATTATTAATTTTATACATCTACATATAGCTACAGATAAAATGTACTAGAAAACCTAAGCAAGCTTAATCTGTTGACTAATTCATGCTTGTGCAGGGTGCAGCGGCCACAGGCCCTTCAAAACACAACTCAGTCATAACAATGCATAGCCCCAGTTCACAGGTAATCAATCTACTGTTCGGTTTTCAATGCACCAGTTAACAAGAATGTCTTTCACTACCATCATGTCATAGCAAACCTCTCTTTTAAACCACCGTCTCAAGAGTGAGCAACAAAATGCACAAGTGTGGTAATTAATGATAATGAGTTGCATTAAAGTTCTTGAATTTCATCTCATAATTTCAGATAAGTGGTATGGGGGATTGTGTTTTGGAAGAAATATCCAACATGAAAATGTTGATTGAAACTTATCGTTTGTTAGTGATTGGCTTCACAAACTTGTTAATGCTATGGCTCAAAGTCCTTTGAACTGACAACAATCCTTTGAATATCTTTTTAAAAAAACTCATTTTAAAACAGGTAAAGTTCAGCAAGTGCTAGACGTCATTGTTCTGTGTAGGGTTTGGCCAACACCATCTTTTGCCTATTGAGCGTTTGCCTGCAGTGCCTGATCATGTAAGAAGTGTCAGTATTAGCAGCATTTTCAAAATCTCTGAAAAAGGTGTGTTGGAATGAAGAGTCAAACATGTCACCATAAAGTGCCATTATGTGCTATGAGTGACGTTAAGTTTGAGTTTTGTATATGTGGAGATTGTTGCCATTTTTATTCCTCTGTCCTGTAGATACTGGACTGGATCTGCCAAGGGTTTAAAGATGGGAGTTGGCCATGTTGGCTCCATAGCATACATCAATGTGCTTTCCCTTTATAAATAAAATAAGCTTCAGGTCAAAACATCTGCAATTCTTAACCCATTTAAAAAAGGGGCCTAAATGAAAATCAATCCAAAAATCAAAAAAATTTGATGTACAAAGTTGTACTTAAATGGCAGCACCTTAATAGACCATGAGAAACATAGCATTTTGCCATCAGTGTGAGCAGCTATAACCAAATGTACTGTAAACATGAGTTTATTTCCCTGCCTTTTTGAATAACTTACTGATTCGCTAGGCATTCCTCCGACAAGACCTGGTTGTTCATTTCATTCAAGTGTTTACAAAATTAAACCATACATATTATTTTCCAAAAGACAGGAACAAATGAACAAGATTATCCTGTTTTAATCACACTATACTTGCGTGAAGGAGAGGAGTTTGACACAGTAAAGTTAACATTTAGGCCCAAAATCAGACCAAATGGACCTAGTCAAATCTGGCTTTGCAGTACCAGTGAATCATGGCACTTCCTTTAGTGCACAAATCTAGGTCAAGGCTCCATCAGGACATAAAATTGTAATGAGTGCAGAGGATTTGGGGCTTGTTGGTAGCACAGCTTTTCACTGAAACTTCATGACCCTCGTAGCATGTAAAATAATTGAGGATAATTAAATTTGGCACTGGTGTTGGGACGTACAATGCTGGAATGTACAGAAAGGAAATGTGCAACACTATTAAACCAATGTCCTAGTTTAACACAGAGCAGCCCATTAACAGTGGAGCACAATGGCTACTTTTATATTTACTCCAATTCTAGATTATACTTACAATGTGCATGAAATACTACGAATCAAGGCAACATTCTTTTTAATTAGAGAATTTGCAGAAACACTTTTTGAACAATGTGTACAACTGTACTTACGGTCAAGCCCATTGATGTAGCGGATGCGTATTTCGCAATGGCCCCACACGGCGCTGACCACAGGGTAGAGTTTGCGGCCCTTGAGACCCCTAAAGGCCACGCCCAGGTAGTGTCCATCCACGATGTATCCTAACGTTCCCTCGTCCATGTCCAGCACCACGAGCAGAGAGTCCGGGATGATGAAAGTCTCGTCAGGCTCTAAGAAAGCAGGGTAAGTTTTCCCGGGATGGTTTTTCCCATCGTGGTACAGTTTACTGCGGCACAGGTCCCAGCCCCAGGACTCTGTGTTGCTCCCGACTAAAGCCGTGTAGCCCATGGAGTGCAGAGGAGCTTCGCTGGTGGCCACGCCTACCACAGCGTGGGTGCCCCTCTGTCTCATGGCCCAGCTGATCTCCCATACGTGCAGTCCACGGGTATAGCCCACACGGCCCCGGATGGCGTCCGTGCTCTGGGCGACCGGGTGCCGGTGAAATACCAGCTTGTTGTCGTCCTTCACAAAGATGTTCCTGGAGCGATCGTCATTGTTCCATGAGTGCTGCACCTGCAGGTCAGGGCCAGCAGGGGGCATGTCCAGCAGCAGGTCCAGCCGCGCAGGTTTGGTGTGGTTCAGTGCCTGCAGCTCCAGCTTCAGAGGGCTGAAGGCCGGGTCCCGCATGTCAATGGTTTTGATGCCACCGGGGACTTTCTGCCCCATGCTCCGGGTGGGTTTAGCAGCTCGCCTCCTCCTCCCTCCCCCCGCCTCACTCTCAAATGGGGGGAGTTCTTAAGGTGAGGGACGTATCCTCCACTGTGCTCCACAACCTCTGCGATGATGGGGCCAGAGCTCGCAACTGTCTGGGAGTCGTGAGGGCCAACCTGCAAACATTAGAGGTTAACAAGAAACATTTTTACAACAAATGTACCAAATCTCTAGCATAGCCATAGTTAGCCAAATGTTTGTGAGGAAAAAGACATACAACATTAAAGTGTATATATTTTAATCTGGCATGAATAAAATGAGTTTGTAATGGCTGCTGGCTCGTAACATTACAGTACAAGGTCCAATACAAAGATGAATGGAAAAAATGACGCAATATTGACTGATTCAGGAGGTAAAATGACTCATTAGCAATGTCAACCCAATCCCTTCAGTTTAAAATTACAAAAGACCTAAAAGGTGATTTGATTTCTCAAAAGGCTTTATGGTACAGATGTATTGTATCTGGTGACAGATTTGTGACCTGTTTGTCTACAAGATATTGCTTTGCTTAGAATTTTCCAGTAAGGCATTAAACTTTGCCTGTATTCATATACACATTCTTATTTCACACTTGAAAAACATGCATTTTACAGCAAGTAGGGTTGCATTGCCTCTCCACAAATCTGATCTGTAACTTGGCTTGGCGACATCATTGCTCATCTCCAAGAAGAAAAGACCATATTAATGCTATACTGTGGAACATTCAAGGAAATAAAATAACATCTCAATGGATGAAGTAGAATAAAACAGCATCTAGTTCAATATTTGGCAAAAAGAGCCAAGACTCAACATCAAGCATCTGGCAGGTTGACAAAATGTGAACAAGGTTTCTCTTTAAACTTTGAGTTTTAAAGCATAAACCTCATTCAAAAGACTGCAACATATTTACTGATGTAAAACATCATTTGGTAGTGATCGCTAGAAACAACCAGTCTCTGAAAGAGGTCAATACATAGTTGGAAGAACAATGAATTTTAAATAGTGACCTACAATGTCCTTGACAAATAAAATTATAACTGAAAAGAGCAAATCTCATGGTTTTAGGGGACAAAAAGTATAATTTTAATCTGATTTAGACCAAGTCTGAGGAGTTGCCTTGTTCCCATATAACAGTTACTGTCTTCTAGTGATGCAACTGATGTGAGCGTAAATAGTATATTGACTCCTTTACAGTATCACATTGCATGGTTTATTAGATTTGTGACGCCAGGAATCAGCTTTAATGAGTATATGTCAGCACCATGACGACAAGGTTAATAACTGTCTTTGTCTAATCGTGACTCTAGAGAAACTGAGTGAATCAGGGCTGTGTGGCCCTCCCAGACAGAGAAGACAAACAAGACCAACCAGTTCCAGAGTCAACCGCCATAGATTCATTTCACATAAAAAATGTAATGGAAGACATAATTTAGAAAATTTAAGTCATGGATCGGTCTAAGATTCAATTATTAACACCAAGTTGTCGATATTCATTCTAATAATCAAATGTTGCCTTTTTTGAAGCCAATTGAAAATGCCATCAGACAAATCATTAAGCTTGAACAAAATGATTACGTACTGACGGAAAAACTACGCAAACAAACAATCTAAACGTAGAGATCAAGTGAATCATTAAAAGGTTGATGAGCTATAAGCACATGTCCTGTCTGAACTTGTCACTCTCGTCTGTGGCTGACCCAGATGCCACACTGTAACTGTACTGCGCACACAAACACCAGTGTGCACAAACACAAACACACACAAAGAAGAAAGTGTGTGGCTTAAAGATGACCTTAAATAACACTGTACTGTGGTAAACATCGATGTTGTTCAGCTCTAGCCCAGTCAATTACAGGGCAGTATCATGAAGCCACTCAAGTCTAATCTGATTAATTATTCTCAATTTTACACATTACTTTGTATGCAGTGATCGTTCAGCCCATTGGAGGCAAACCAAGATTGTGACACTCAATGGTCAAACATTCGAGACAACCAAACATAGATTTGATCAGGTTTTAAACAAATATTGACTCTGGACAACTAGGTCATTTCTACCTCTAAACATCAGCATCATCATCATCATCTTTGGGTTAGTAGGGCAATATTTCATTACAAAACCACTTAAATACTTATTCTGGATTAATTTGATCTGCATTTACATTGACCTTAAAACAAAAATCTAACTTTCTATAATAAATTGTGCTTGTTTAGATTGACCTATCCTTAACATTTTCTTCACAGCTCTCGGTCAGATTATTATGAGTGATTTGGTTTTCTGGTATTGCAGTTTAACCAAACCCTGAGACATCAATAGTTTTGTTTGTCCCAAACCCGATTCTGGGTTTTCCACTGGAATGACTTGTTGATGGTCAAAAACTGCTGTCCTTGCCCCTCTATATTCTGCCCTGCTGTGGCAGGGCTGGAAACAGCATTGTCTCATGTGGAAAACTGTGCTACTGGGAAGGCCACTCTAATTGAATTGTAGACAAGAGTTCATTGAGAAGTGCTTTGGCTCTTCTTCTAATGCAAGTAAACAACCATTTAAATGGGTCATGTCTCTTCAGTGATCGGAAAACAGGAGGGAACAGAAAGCCGGCAACGGGTGGCCACCATCTGAATGTAAACAATCTCTTTTTCAAGGGCTGTCCAGCATTCAGCACTGACAAAACATGTTAATTTGCACTATCTCTGAGCCAGGAGTTTAGTGTTCCCTCCCCACGTGGCACGGGGCCACCGCACAACACGCACAAGCAAATCAAAATTAACCCAACAATACTGGTCTTCCCACAGTAACCACGGACGTGAACACAAACAGAGCCGTTAGAGGGACAAAAGCCGGCTTGTGGAGAGTATATTTGGGCCAGGATCCTGGATAGGCTGTTGGGGTTTGCGGGGCCCCAGCACTGGTTTGGAGCTGATTAAAATGCAAGTGTAAACTCACTGGATTTGCTGAGCAAAGGAAACACTTGTCTCTATTGAGAGTCCACCTGAAGTAAAGGCCCAGCCTCTTTACAGACCTGTGCTCGAAAAAGGTCCAAACAAAACAAACCACTGTCAAGTGTTTACGAACTTAAAGAAAATGTCATGTTGGACTGAATGGGGTCATCAGGAAAGAAAGGAATGCTCCAGACATAAAGCATGTTTTAAGTGCTATAACCCAGTGGAAGTTTAGTGAATCATGCACAACCTAAAAAGGTGATAATGGATGATTAGAGGATGATAATGAAGCTATAGCAACGAACATA